GTCTACTAGTACTAGTAGTATAGTTACTAATTAGTGCTATATAATCTAACCTAACCTTATATAATTAGTTAATGCTATAAGTACTAGTAATCCATTTGTGCCAATGATCATAGCAATCGGCCAAAAAATCAACAACTGGTAATATAACTATAATTAGTACCTGTACCTTATCCATAAATAATCCTACGTTACACTCCATCGTACACGAACCTCATAAACCTTATTAATACCATTTTACCCCATTAAAACGCGATTTTTGAAAGTATATATTACATTACTTGAAGCGAGGATAACGTTAGCCCTTGATTACAACGAAGCTAATAATCCAGCACTTAATAAGTGCTTTCAGTATTATGATCTAATACGATAAATGGAGTATTCTCCAGCTGTTGGACAAGTTGTTAAGTTTCTCAGAAATTTTCGTGATTCACGATACAAGAAAGATTTATGGGATCCAAGAAAACAAAATTACCAACGGAAATCGTATTGATAAAAATACTGACGTTCGCTCACGATGAATGTATTATATCATTTAACTACACTTTTTGTGGGTTTTCAACTTTTTGTCGGATTATATAACAAAATTGATGTATCAGCATCACATTTGGATACCATGATATCTTGATATACAATTAATGCAGGAGTATTTAATTTGTTCTCAACTATATTACGCGCGTCTTAAAATAATCTCAAGAAATAAGCAGGCGAAGATATTGCGACAGAGATATGGATGAATCATAATCAACAGGACCAAATGTATTCTTTGTTACTCCGCATTTATAAATCGTCTTATCTCTCATGTACGATCGAGTTTCATTAATAGTGTCAAATAAATCAGTTTTATATACGAGTATGAAATTTTGTTTTTTTTTGCGAGCTTTATTTTATTTTGAATTTCGAAGATTCGTATTATAAAATTTATAAATTCATTTTTTACTACGAACACTGTGAATGAATAATTTTTAAATATTCAAGGTTACAAATTTTTTTGCTATTTTAACATATTCATATTTAATGATCTTGCAAATTTTCAAGTCCTTATATTTTTAATTTTCCGAAAGCCCCATTCTGTGTTTTCAAATTTAGGGATTTCTACATTTTTATATTTGTAAGTTTACAATTTTCCCAATTTCCTAATTTCCTAGTTCCCTGATTTTCTAATTTCCAAATTTCCTAACTTCCTAATTCCCTAGTTTCCAAATTCCCAAATTCCCAAATTCCCAAATTCCCAAATTCCCAAATTTCCAAATTCCCAAATTCCCAAATTCCCAAATTCCCAAATTCCCAAATTCCCAAATTCCCAAATTCCCAAATTCCCAAATTCCCAAATTCCCAAATTCCCAAATTCCCAAATTCCCAAATTCCCAAATTCCCAAATTCCCAAATTTCCAAATTTCCAAATTCCCAAATCCCAAAATTCCCAAAATTCCCAAAATTCCCAAAATTCCCAAATCCCCAAATCCCAAATTTCCAAATCCCCAAATCTCAAAATTCCCAAATCTCCAAATCCCCAAATTCCAAAATCCGCATATCCCAAAATCCGCATATCCCAAAATCTCCATATCCCAAAATCCCCATATCCCAAAATCCCCATATCCCAAAATCCCCATATCCCAAAATCCCCATATCCCAAAATCCCCATATCCCAAAATCCCCATATCCCAAAATCCCCATATCCCAAAATCCCCATATCCCAAAATCCCCATATCCCAAAATCCCCATATCCCAAAATCCCCATATCCCAAAATCCCCATATCCCAAAATCCCCATATCCCAAAATCCCCATATCCCAAAATCCCCATATCCCAAAATCCCCATATCCCAAAATCCCCAAATCTCCAAATCCCCAAATCCCAAAATCTCCATATCTTCAAATCCCCAAATCCCCAAATCTCTACTTCCAGATCCCCCAATTCCTATACCTCCAAAACCTCAACCTTATCAAATTCTCTAAAATTCCTAAAAACCACTAACTGTAACTGCCTCTACCTATTATCACCTTTTCTTATTAAAACAAGACGACCATATCCCCTACTTTCAAAGACAAAAATATTTTTATAATCAAAACAAACCATGTCTCATTTTCTTTCCTCATTGTCCCAAAAAGAAAACGTAGAATTTTCAAAGTTCCGCACGGTTTGAACAGTTTTGTTCGTTTCACGATGCATGATTCAATCGAACGGACGCGTTCGATAATTCTCGAGGAATCGAAGAAATCTGTGCGGTTTCTCGAGAGCCGAGCGGAGTCAGGTTCGCTGAAGCGCGGAACTCTTCTCTTTTCTCTTTTTTCCTTCTCTCGTTTTCAACGCGGCAATCAACATACCAATTTCCTATCTCCACGGTGTTCTGCCTCCTCGTGGATTCGTTCTATCCCCTTTTCAGCTGTGTCCGCGGCCATCGGAGGGAAAAAAAAAGCGAAGAAAAGAGACGAGCGAAGGCGTCGCGGTCTCATCAGCGAACGACGCACAAAGTCCTCTTTGTTTTCGCGATCGGATTCGCGTTACTCGGTCTCGTCTCGATCGAGTAAACGCGTTAATCGATTTCAAGGATGCAGTAAAAGAGGATACGGTACCCGCGAAGATGAAGAAATGCAAATCGAGGAGAGAGGAACGAATCGCGAAAGAGCATAATCGCGATAAACGGAGAAGCTGAATAAAGCAGATGGAAAATATTTTGATAAGTATGTAAAATACCATTCCTCCTGCTTTTAATCGCCTTAAAAATCTTAAAGCATGCTTTAAAGAAATAATCATCCACTTTCATCTTACACCTTACGATTAATTTAAGAAACTTTGCTATTGCATGAAGCTACAAAATAACATTGTTGATGACGTATTTATATCGAAAATAAACTATAATATATTAACAAACAAACTGCAATATATGTAAACTATAACAATTTTGTGCCATTTTTTATAAGAATGATTCCCTAATGTCGTCCATATTAGTTACTAATATTTATCTAAATTATTGTATTAAATAATTATAGTCTTCTCACAATTACAGTGTACCAAACGAATAGCGTCATAATTTACCCTTAAAAATGACATCCGTTTCCTTGAACCATGAGAAGAGTTACTTCATGAAGTCGGAGCTATTACTCTTTTACTGGTCTGGTAATACGAGCGGATGAAAGTACCTGCTAAAATACCTACTTTACTTGATCACTCGTCTTCAAACATTGTTTCCTTTCTATGCTTCGTTTCATTCCTGCTGAATCTCATTCAATCTTCGTTCCTTGTAATCGACATTTCTACATGAACTTTTTTCGTACGCAGCATTGTTCTCGAGCGAATCATAAATTATGGCAGTGTCCTTATAGCGATTATGATAGATTGCTCGCTGGAGCATTCGGTTTCATCGTGAGGTACGTGAATCTTTAAAATAATAGGGGGAATGTTTTTTTACATTTAATTCGAACAAATTTTTAACAAGTTTTCATTTTTAATCAATGATCATCTGCTGTACAAAATGCCATTTATTTTTGTCATCTGTACAAAATTTCAGTGGTGGGTTGATAAAAATCAATTTTGGTTTTTGGACAAAATAATTGGAGATGGTATTTCAGAAACTCCAAATTAATTTCTTCAGACTTCTTCATTGTTAATATTTCTAATCACTGTATAAAAATTCAAGGTTACGTGAATGTCACGTTGTTGAAATTATCTTGAGAACAATACCAACCATATAACTTATGCTGTCATATTCAACGACAATAACGCAAAGTACTAATATAGAAAACTTTTATATTTTGAAAAATATTTAGCGAAATTTCTCATGTTCAATACAAACACATCATGTCACTTTGTAACATAATAGGAAAATATGTAACCCAATTTTTAAATAAACTAAGCACATTTAATTTTCCTTACGAATTTCACAACTTTTCTATAATACCGCGAAAATTGAGAATTTTGCACGTGGTCCCGACTCGATGGCTACAGGATCAGGAGGAGCAAGGAGAACAGAGGTCGATACTCCTGGCAGGATCCGCGGCGAAATCGGCGGTTAGGAATGGCCATGAACCATTTTCGCCCTACGAAGGAGCAGCGCACACAGCACAGACAAAATAAAAATGCGATGAAGAACAGCGACGAGGCGTGCAGAGGGGGACCAGAGAAGAAGAAGAAGAAGAAGAAGAAAGAAAGAGAAGAGAACCCGGCCAACTTCTCTCACCCGGTTTGGGCTGGCTTGGCCTTCCGAGGGGCCAACCTAGACTCACGATTCTCATCTCCTCTGCTCTGGTCCACCATGAAACGAAACTCTCTTCTTCTTTGGTCGTCTCTTCTTTCTTCCATGTTCGAGATTCCTCCTTCTCCTTGTCTGATACCCCGGGCCAGTCGCGATTTATTAGGCGAGCTAATTAATAGACTAACTGGACGCACGTTCGTGAAAGTATGCGTGCTCGATTCGTGGAAATCTTGAGCAACGATACGCGATTTATTGCCACGCGAGATTCACGATGGCCGACGAGTTTTTCGTGATTGGCTTCATTTTCATAATTGCCAGGAAATACTTAATTCGATGGAATTTCTCTGATTCGAATATTTCTGTGGCGGAGAATCGATCATTGTCTTCTCCTTAATTTGTTACGGTCATTTGATCTTGTAAGGTATTAACGTGAGCAACACCTCAAATGTGAGATAATAGTAATGAAGTGAACACACAAATTTTAAACGGCTTTTAAAACTCCTGGTGCCAGTATGCTAAAATAGTTAAAATTGGGATCTTGTATTTTTTTTAGATTTTATTTTCTTTAAAGATAAAATCAACTTTCAGTCCATATTGTCTTACGCAAACTTTCTTCAGGATTCTTAAAATTTTTTTAAATACCAGTACCTTCTAGTATGTATAAAAGCTAAATAAATGACTACAAATAACAATCTTTGTATTATTTAGTAACACAGTTTTCACGAAAAGTTTATTTACAATATCCTAAATTACATACATAGAGACAACATGCATGTTATATATTTAAATACTAGCACCATGTAAAGTAATACATTATTTACAAAACTGTACATCCAAATTAAATATGCTAATCTAAGTATTCCAATCACTGCTTCATTCTACTACATTTCATCAATATACAGTGAATCGTTATATTGCCATACGCGTGATATCGCCATGCTTCACATTTTCATCCATTGTAATGTCACGTGACATGTTCCGCAGCGTAGTGTTGTTATATTGCCGTGGTGTAGCGTCCAGCTACATCTATGCTATATTTTTACCATAAACCCATAAATTCCAAATGTATCAGCCATGGCAATACAATGAAAGTCTCACAATAATTTAGATTAATTCCTTGTTTTCGTTTTCGGTTGCTTTTCACGGCTTATTCCAGATCTGAGGTTTCTGTGCCGACACATCAGTTGCAGGCTGCTGCAATTCAATGTGAAATTTAAGGTATCTTGCACACCGTTGTCACACTCTTCCCTGTCTACCTCTTTCCTCGTTCTCCGAGCGTTACTCCCGTTGGTTTCCGGCCGTGATTTTCTATTTCCTTCCGTTTCTTCGTTGTCGCTGAGACCGTAAGTCGAACGATCGTGCTGCTTCATCGCAATTCTTATAGTATGAGTCATTTCCGGGCTGGGTGAACGCGAATCTCGGGTCGCCTCCGATTCCTTGCCGATATGGAGGCGAAAGTTTGCTGGTATCTCGGAACAGATGCATTCGGTGACATCTTGGAGGTTCAGATTCGACAAAAGCCTTCGATTGCTCCCTGAAATTCGAGAGTCAAGTATTATTCGAACTGGAAAGATACATTAGGTCTAGAATATCTTCAGCGATTCAAGTTTTTATGACAATAGAAGGTATATTAGCTATTTGCAAATGTTTATAAAACTTTAATAATAATTTAGCCTAACTAGATATTCAATGAAAAAGTAATTCTAGTATAAAATTGTAAATTTAGGAGACTGCAATAATTTGGAGATGCATTGTAGATAATATGGTCATACGTTGTTAGTTAATATTTTATTCTGTTTCACTTATGCTTCCATATTTTATGCTTTCAACTTCCCGTATAAAGTAGAGATCTTTTGAATAAGGGCTAGTTAGGGAGAAACATATAGGGTTGCATACGAGTAGGCGCTAGATTGCACCTATAAACTGCAACCTGTTCACCTTCAACGTAGTAAATGTACCGAACGAAACGAAAGTAACCGTGTCTTCTCTATAAACGTAACAGTTTACTCAACTAATAAAGCAGAATTATTTCACTAACAAACAGTAACAATCACTAACAATATCATCTCAAAATCCTTAATTTCTAACAACTATTCAACCAAGACCAAGCTAATAACTGACGCAAAAATATCGTATAATCAACCCATCAATTCTCTCAATTTTACAATTCAATAGTAAATCGATCCTCGAAGGTCCAGAGCATCGACCATGCATAAAATAGATTCCCTTACGCGTCCTGAAATACCAGGAATGCCAATGAGTAAACGTTGAACCGAACAGCAGACTTTGAATTGACCTTCGACAATGTTCCTCGTACATTCTTCAAGGGTTGGAACTCCTTTCGTACATTCCAGGAACTCCTCGCCCCTTTTGCGTCTGCCCCGGGACTTCCTCGATGATCTCTTCCTTGCTCCACGTGGCTCCACCCTTCCTTCTACCTTTCCAGTCACCGTGACCTTCTCCAGAAGCTCCTTCAGAACCTCGTCCTTGGATTCGATCGAACCCGTCGAGTTTTCGAGCCTCGTCCTTCGCGAGCTAGCTTGTGACTCGATCAGAGGAACCGAGCATTCTGGCAGTTCCAATGAAACGATCGTCAGGAACGGTGGTCTCTCCTTCCGGATCCTCTCCAACCACGACCTGTAACTATTTCATTTGCTGTTACGTGGCAATATTCGTTTAGGTGGTTTTAGAGATTTTGAACGTCGCTTTTGGAATAAAATTTAGAATTTTGAATTAATTTTAACCTTTGCTTCGTAACATTCGACCTCAGACACGAACTCTAACGCAGAAACAATGTACGATTGTGAAACATTTCACATTTGAAACCTCACATTTTTACTCGAACGTCGGGAATTCGTGATCAGGGAAAACCTTGTGCAGGGTTTATTTTCAATATAGTCAACAAACAGATCACTGTCAGATATTGATGAGTAACCATTGAAATAGTTGTTGCGTTTTCATGACTAAAAATTTGACGTACCGCAATTAAATGAGACACCTTATATTGGAGTGAAAATAGCTTGGAAAATAGTAAAACAACATGAATTTCATGAAGATGAAATAGAATATGTTTAGTGAAATTTTATTAGCTGTTAATAAAGAATTATGAACGCAGTGACGAAAGAAAAGAACGATGTATAAAAGAAACATAGAGACTTAGGACTTTTCAGAAGCGACGGCGAAATGCACTACGTCACGATGAAGTTACCAGTGCTTTTCAGATTCACTGGGTAACGATCCTTCGAAATGATTCCTCACGGTCAAGGAAGAAGCCTTAACGACTGTAAGAAAGGATATCTTCTGAAACCTGAATAACTGTTGTATGTAATTGTCGATGGCCCGCAACGGTCGAACACGAACGTCTGTCATTTCCAGAAAAGCGTGCATGAATAAAAGCGGAAAATCTCGCGTGCAAAGACTTTAGAAAAAAATGAGAGAAAGGACGTCGTAAAGATGAAGGATAATAAGATGATTGAACTAAAACGAAGTGTATAGCATGGGAAAATTTTGATGGGAATAAGATGTTGTTATTATTGCTTTGCATGTAAAATTAAAAGATTGCAGCCAATTACTTATGGGGTGATTCCTGAGTTTTAATTTATAAACGCCATTATCTCTCAAAATATTCGTCTTTTCAAAATTTACCTTTTGTCCTTTACAAAGGCTGATTACGTTAAATTACTTCTCTCTGAAAGAACAAGTTTCCTTTCAGGTTTCGAGTAGCTAATATTCGAGCAGATAATTTTTTGCATGATTACACCCTGTGATTATATAATTCGTAACATGATTTTAGGATATTCGTGCCAAAAATATATGACCATGTAATTAAATAGTAGATGTATCAAATATGTGAGTATTAAGTAATAAATTTTCAAAGTTGATGTTTTAAGATTGTGAATCTACTGATATGCTGATAGACAAAATTATGATCACTTTTCTGCAACTCTTCTATAACGAGGTTCTACAATAATCTGAGCAAGTATCTTACAACAAATTAACAACACTGCAAAATCAGCTGCGAAATCAACTACACTGATCGTACGAAAACTACTGGTAGAAAACTAAATAAGCAGAAGTATTTTAGTCTATCTGCAGTAAACACCATAGTTTAGCTGAGGTCGCTTGGATTCGCAGAATAGCAGATAAAAATGCAGCAAAAAACCTAGAATGTTATCGTGATCTCGTCGATAAATGGGGCACGATAACGCGTCGACGAGGCCAGTAGCAACCTCGTTGACGAAAAAGAAAGAATTCTTTCTGGAAGCTGGCCATCGGATCCATTGGTGGTGGATTCACGAGAAACGAGAGCACGTTCTAAACTCGCAATAAACTCGGTAACCTTGTCTGAATCTCGAGCTCTGAGGGGTCAGCCACGAAATATAATACTCGTGTTTGAACGCAGAAAAAGGCTAATTCACGAAGAACATCGAGAGACCAAGGTCCAGTACCCGCCACGGTACGCAGATGTAGAATTCGTTGTATAAACTCCTGGAAATTTTATTATCAATATTATTTAATTATACTTTTTCGTTTTAAAAATACTGTTTCTTGATACGATATTAATAACACCATAACATAAGTTTGTGATGGAATGATCGCTTTTGAAGTTTTATAGAGTCACGCGGTCCCAATCTCGACAGTTAAATTTTAGTGCGTTTAATTACGGGTTTCCACGTCACGTTACATCCCTATAGACTCCAGAGGAAAGAATCATTTACTAGATCGAAGTTCCCAGTTAATCGTTCAAGAAATCTCTACGGGATTCAATCGTCTTTTAGAATCGTTACCGTCCGATCGTGAGAATAAAATTGCAACATGAACTTTTTCTGTAGTGATTAATTATCGGGGTACATTTAATTATCAGCTCTTTGCTAATTAACTCGGTAATCGCTTCAGTAGAAGTGCAGGATGTTAAAAAGAAAAGGGTTGAGAGACAGTGTTCATCAGAAACAGCAAGAAATGTGGCATGGGACAGAACATTGATGTTTTATATTGATTATTTAAAAAACATATTCAGGACTATTTACAGACTAGTTATATGTGATACTATTTAATAGACAGGTCAATTATATTTAATACTATTTAACAGACATTTAATAAACAAATGATACGAAAAACTTGACCACATTTCCCCTGCGCAAAGAAGAAATATATTCCAGATAATTTACTCTCTGTATACACGTAACTTTATTTGAAACACCTATCTCTCAGATCAATATTTGAGTGGGACATATTGCTCGTAATAATACTCGATATTTTTACCTTAAGCCTGTATGAAAACACGAGTGTCAGCAATAGCCCTGACTTTGAATGCAAGCAAACACTGTTCGCGTTACAGGTTCACAAACGCAAGAAGCGTCCACACCGAGCGAAATACGAATCCCCAGTGACCTGCATCGAGTGCACCGAATCCAAAGTTCAGAACAGACGAGTGAGAGTTTGTCCGCAAGAAAGTGAGAGGGAGAATACCTGGAGGATCTTCTAGAGGAGGGCACGTAACCGGTGGTAGGATGACAGATATGGCGTGCCGGGGACTGTGACCTTGAACTCGAGGGTTCCCTCGTGCTCCTGGGGTCTTCAAGCGTGAGGCGCCGAATGTACAGTCCTGGCACCTCCTCCACGAGCTGATGTCTTCTCCTGTACGAAGCCACAGTGACTGGTCCAACCGATTCTCACCATCGATCATCCGTCGTCGTTCTCTTCTCTTTCTGTTCGTTCCTCTTTTTTCTTATTTCCCTGTTCTTTTAACCGGCGGAACAACGAGATTGAACTCGAACGGCGACCTTGAACCGTGACGTTCAGTCGTCTCAACACGATTGTACAACCAGCAGGATCGTGGTTATCCTTCGTGCAGACAACATTGTTGCGGTTCTAAACGAAAACGAGATGATTGAATAACGACTCTCGGTTTGTAGCCTGTTTCAGGTTTCACGTTGATCGCGCGTCGCGGATCATCGGGTCCGCTGTTGCAAAAGCGCTTACATAAGTGGAGGAAAGATCGAGAGGTAATTGCACGTGATACGATTAAATTGTGCTACTAAGTTGGGAAACGTGCCGTTGCGGGAAGTTGATCGTGCTGCGATGTGAACGATCGCTGCAATCGCTAACCAGAGCACGTGGATATCAACTAACAAACGATTAGAGCTAGTTCAGGTTATGGGAAATCATGCTGTCATCACGTTGAAGCGTGAGCATTCGCGGAGTAACGAGGTGATTGTGGTCGTTGGAGAGAGTGGTTGTCTACTTTGTCGGCGAAGATTGATTCTAAACCAGCTTCGGTGATTTGGAGAGAAATTGATGTTTAAGTGACAAAAATAGAGAACCCGTTCATGGTTACGTTTCGCTGAATAAGCAGTTTCTGTACCTGCTCCTGCTCTCGTTTATATAGATATTATCTAACGACTTGGGAGAGAAATTCTGCTCATGAATTTTTATATAAAACTTTGTGAGATATACATAATAGCGAAATTGCAGATTTCCTAAATTCCATAGTCTTCAAATTGTTAACCCATTTCTAAATTGTTGAATTCCTAATAAGTCATCACAAGGAAGATCTTTTTCTCCTTGTCATAATTTTCCCAGTGAGCAGCCAGATTCGAACTAACCGCATTGAATGAAATTTTGAACATGGCGGATATAACGTGTTAGCCTAACCTATCCGACAGCCACCGCTGACCGATTGACATAATTTTGCAAGAGTCTCGTATTTCCTATTGATTATTTCGAGCTGGACCACCGGTGATTTCATCGAAACGACCATTAATTCGTAACGATGTTTCGCGCGCGTTCCAAGCTCGAGTTAATCGGTAGAGGGAACGTTAATGGCGATAAAATAGGTGATTAACGAGAGCGCCACGAGCTATGTTAATGGGTCCTGGAGGGAATTTCGTTGTTCGGTAGCTGGCGATATCAGAAGGACGTTCAGCTTTTAATTACGGGACGCTCGCTTCGTGAACGCGATTATCGCGGGGCACGAGTTTATTTGCTCGTTAGCGATTTTCAGTACGGACTGGATTGTATTCCGATGCCGGAGAATAAAAATTCTTTGGATGTGTTTGTAGATTTTTAAAGCGGATCATGTTTTTCAAACGCGAAATCACTGAAGTACATTCAGAAACGATGTGGATGCCGGTAAGAAAATTCTCTTCAAACAAAATATAAAAAAAAATTTTTTATTCCGTACTTTCTCCTGATTTTAATTTGGGGAATATCAGTTAGGAATACATCGTGTTACGAATAAATATAGTAGAGATTTTCAAGTTATTTTATTTAGAGGGCTTTGAATTTGGAAATGTTAAAAATTTCAGATTTGGAAATTGGATAAAAGTACTTTGTGTAGATTTGGAAATTCACGAATTTGGGGATTTGGAACTTTGGGAATTTGATGATTTATAAATTCATCTTAACCTATCTGATTGCTCATGAATTTTTACTCACAAGTTTGTAATTCAGAACTTAAAGCACATTACCCTAAATCTGACATATTATCTCACTGTTCGGATAAAACACCCCTAAGTCTTCGTACTTTGAATTTTATTAGTAAACTACAGCTGCATATCTGTAATTACCAGTGAGCAGATATTACCATAGAATCTTTTTCCCTAGCATCTATTTACACTTTCGAGATATCGTGTTTCAAAGTTAACCGTGGTATACCGAGTCTATCCAATGATGGCTGACCGTTCGATTCAGAGTAAAACAATGTGTATTGCGAAAAGCGAAAGGAACACCGACGATCGAGAAAAGTAACGGTCCGTCCCAGTGGAGATTAAGAGCCGATTAAAATTCATGGCGTGTCAGCCGGCATAATTCGATTTCGTAGGTGTTCGTGCAGATCGAGTTACCCGAGGCGGGCTTCCTTTTTTTTCTCCTTTTGAGCAGCAACGGACGCGAAACAGCCCGCCACGTCGTAGCTTTGTTCGCGGGGACAAACCCCTTGACGTCGATTAAAATTGAAACGTGGCTCATTATCGATTCGTCACGCTAACCGAGCGTGAGGAGAACGCAACTTACGGATTCCGCTTGTATCGTGTTACGGTCGATCCGATCGTTTCCTTGGACCAAGGACGAGTCGGACGATGATAATGCGAGATGATAGTTCGGTCGACGTGGACTTCTCGACCGTCGCTCGATTCTCGTGTCAAACTGTTCGATTAGAGAGAATGTTACTTGTTGGTGTAACGATCGGAAATTGACATTTATCTTTTCCGCTCGCGATGTCGTGCTTACTCGACGTCGTTGCACGAAACGACTCACTCGTGTGTTATGAGATGAATAAGTCTACATTTTTAAAAAGTAGATGTTTGGAGAATATGTGCATACAGAAAGGGTTTTAGATACCATTGATCTCGATGTAAATTGATTTTATAACGGCCATTAAATGGTATTTAAAAGAGTAATTTGCATGCGATCGAAGGTACTGCGATTCTGTGTTCGGTGGCGTAATCCCTGTGTGCGAAAATCGGGATTTTAACAATTCCGATAACTATGCAATTGCCTTTCGTGAATATCGATTCGAATAAATTCACAGTTACTTTTGAATACCCTGTTAATTGCAAAGGAGTTTTACCAAATAACTTCCAGTACTAATTGATGGCCTTAATTTTACAAGTGCAAACATTTATCATCGATAAAAGCAGTAATGCAGTGTTATTTTTAGCAGCGGGCACTATCATTCGAAAGGGAATCAATTTATAAAAGGGAATCGAACTTCCATCATCAAAAGATCACCGCAGATCGATCTTCGTGGGTGGACCATCGTAGCCGCAAGGTTGATTCGTAAAAGGACGAATACGCGCGAAACAAAACGCGTTTAACCGGCGAACGAAAGGAATAACGGACAAAGATAGAAGGCACAAATAGAATAGTTTGTGCCGACGAAAAGCAAAAGGCAACGGGAGTGGAGCGGAAAGGAAACGGAGAGAAAGGAGGCGAAACAGAGGAAGATGCCGATCTCTTCGCGGAATATGTTTACATTAAAGGCGCGCCTTGAAAAAAAGGCTGGGACGAACCGCAAACTGCTTAACGAGTCCTGCTCCTTCTGCACACCCCCAACCCCTCGCCGTTTCTTGTCTCTGTGGTGTCATGTACAGAAACATCGCGTGCACCCACACAGGGGACTGTATTGTGGCCAGCAATGGGAGCGAGTTGTCTCTGTAATTTCAAATTTCCCGCGTAAGACATTCCTCGACAAGTGGCTCCCTCTTCGCAGAGACATTATAGTCCGCCATTTTAAGTACCCAAACCATTTTCCTAATCATTTGCACTTTCATAAAGCTTTAACATACCAAAATGATGTATAGATTAAGTGATCTGTAAAAAATTTTACATTACTGAAATTAAGATGCTTCGAACGTCATTTATGTTGATTTTTATTGAAATAAAGAATGATTGTATATTTCAATAAAAAAATAATTTAAAACAAAATTATATTGAAGCAAAACAACTAAGTTTATGCAGCTATTGCTAATATAATTTTTTGCGTTTGAAAATCATGTGTATCTCAGATTCTACAGAAATTGAACAGTTCTATCAAGACTCGAAATCTTCGCTTGATTCACGGTTATTAAGTTCATTGAAGTTGTTAGGCTCGTCAGAGGAACGGGAGTTCTAGAGAATTGTTTAAATCGTAGTCGTTTTAATCACCCCACTAAATTTGCCTTAATTGATTGCTCACACAGCTTCAAGAGATTTTAAATTAGTTACTTGGATATTTTGTGCAAAATATGCGAGATATTGCTTTTAGAATAAAACGAGTTAATTCAAAATTAACAAGAAGATTTGCAATTATTTGCTTCAGTCACTCTGTTCTTTATAACAAATTTAAATTATTTTTATATATTTATTTCTCTTTTTAACATTGTATTTACTATTTAAAAATTGTCTGGCCTTAATAGTTTCATTCAATTCTTTCTAACTTTCTAACTGCTAGAAATTAACCCCTAGCTCTATGATTTGTCAGGTGTGTCAGTCAGAACTAGTGTTTCAAATAAAGTTGAAATATTATGTCAATTTATTATCAATCATTCACTACGCAACTACTTACCCTTGAACTCTAAATTGTATCGTATTCATTCCAGTAAAATTGATCATGAAATACAAGTGCGACGAGTCAGACTCATAAAAATAATACAAGGGTTGAACACATAAAAATTTGAAAGCTTAGGTTCCAAAGGTAGAAAATTACAACCTAAAGATAAATTAAGAAATATCGAGATATTCGAGGCTTGAAAAATTTGTATGTTGAAAATACAGAATTGAAATGAATTGCATCATATATGGGGCCACCGTCGTTTCACTCGACGCTTTTTCGTGCATGAGTTAACACGCCATAGGATGTCCAGTGTACGGTTCACCGGTGCTTCAGGGCGAATTTTAATTTTCACGAGCGGGGTGCCCTCCCCGTGTATTGTCATTAGAGAGAGGCCAACGACGGCCAGCAAGGGGAAAAGTCAGGCCACGAATTATGGGCAGAGAGAGGGAACAGGAGAGGGAAAGACAGAGAGGAAGAGAGACATCCACGGTGTTATTAGATTTCTTGCAAATTACTCGCGCGTCCCATTAACGAGTCCCATCTGTCTGGATTACGAGGCGAGCTCGGCCTCGCTCCGCTCGGGTCCTCTCGACCCGCCGAGCGATTTAAAGCGTTACTCTTTCGTCGTTGCTCCGCTTGTTTCCTCCCTCGTTCTTTACTTTATTTCATTCTTTCTTTTTCTTGCGCTCTTTCACCCGCGAAATTTACGAAGGTGCTGCCTACCAATTTACGAGGGCCATCGAACAATCGGCTGATGTGATTAATTGTGTTTTCAGTTCTATTTAGGCGATTAGAGTAACACGATTCCTCTGGACGAAGCTCTACGGTCGAACAAACAAAATCCCATCTTTATATATCATATTTCTACATATTTTTTTATAAAATATACGAATATTATGTACAATTGTAAACATGGAAGTATCACTGCACGCTTAGAAAGAATATACAGGTGTTTACATATATAAATAAATATAAATTACATATAATAAAATGTACATTATGTACATATCCTTTTTTATGTACAAGTGTATTTGTAAAGTGTAAAGTACACTTTTTATACGTACACATATATGTAGAATTTCTATGTGCCTATAATATATTATATTTGTGTGAAAATGAACATTTTTATTTTTATTTTGATATCTTTAAAATACTGTGTACTATTTTGTATTAGCATACAGGTTTAAGAATAAACAAGTTCGATCTGCAAATAATAATATGTAGAGATGGACAAAGTTTAGAGTGTCTTAATGGAGGCGCGAATTAAGGCTGGTTCGCATAGCGTGGTCACTCGAAGGGACCACCCAGCACGGTTCAAAGGTATCGCGATATCGTATCGATCTTTACTGTGGTCGAAACACGACGGGAAGGGGGTGAAAAAAACAAGGCAATTTCCGAAAGGAAACACGTGAAATCGATAGTCGGCCTGGCCGGGACTTTACGACTCGGTGCTGCGTGGAAAAGTCACGACTATGCGAG